GCCAAAATAAACCTTCCCCCCCAAGCCCTGTTGCCGTCACCACGCTTGGGGCACCCTCGCGCCTCGTTTGGCATGTCCAGGATTGCCTGTGGGGGTGTCACACCCTCAGCCCCCCCCGGGGTGACAAACCCCTATCCCTGATGGGGTGACACAGGGGTGACGTATCCCCATCCCCATCAGGGTGTCACAGGGTGGCATACTTCTGTCCCCGTCGTGGTGTCCCCAGGGGTGACTGACCCCAGACCCCGTTGCAGTGTCACAGGGTGACATAGACCCGTCCCCGCTGGGGTGACCCAGGGGTGACATCCAGCCGCGTGGCTGCACTTCAGCCAGGCCTGTCCCCACCCTCGTGCCACCGAGGGTCTTGGGGACCATGGGTTGTGGGGGGGTCCAGCCTTACCTCCCACCCATGCCGCACTCCTGCTCCTCCTGCCCTGCCAGCCACCAGTCCCCGTCCCTCCCCAGGCGCCGGGTGATCCTGTCTCCCGTGGCCACCTCTGGGGCCACCTCCAGGGCCACCAGGGCCAAGAGCCACCCCGGAGAGATGGGGGGGGGTGTTATATTTAGCAGCTCCCCGGGGACCGATCGGGTTTCAGCTGGGTGCGCCGACGTCTCTGCGGTGTCCCCGGGGGCCAGTGACATGGAGGGAGCGGGATCACCCCGTGAGGGGGGCCAGGTGTCCCCGTCCCCCATCCTGGGGCTGTGGCACCAGGCTCCCCCTGCCAAGAAGATGAAGAAAGCCGTCCTCTTCTTCGAGGTGGAGATCCTGGACGCCCGGACACGGGAGAAGCTCTGCTTCCTCGATAAGGTACCTGGAGAGTGGGGGACACATCTCCTTGTCCCCTGTCCCCCTGGGTGAGGGGGCTGGGGGAAGGGGAAACTGAGGCACAGGCATGCCGGCAGCCCCCGATGGCCTCTTCGTTGCCTGCAGGTGGAGCCCCATGCCACCATCGCTGAGATCAAGAGTCTCTTCACCAAGGCCCGTACGTACGGACAGGGATGGGGACAGGGGCGGAGACCCTCCACCAAGCACCCCTGTGGCATCTGGGGACCCTCCATGGGGCAGTGGGGACCCTCATCAAGGCTGGGGACCCATCACGGGGCTGAGGGGATCCCCATCATGGGGTGGTAGGGACCTTCATCGCGGCCAGGGACCTGTCACAGGGCCATCGTGGTCACCATCGTGACCAGGGACCCTCATCGTGACCAGAGACCAGTCATGGGGTCATGGGGATGCCCATCACGGGGACTTGGGGACCCTCGTCACAGCCAGAGACCAGTCACAGGGCTGTGGGGACCGACGTTGCAGCCAGGGACCTGTCACGGGGCCATCATGGTCACTGTTGTGCTTGGGGAGCCATCATGGTGCCCTGGAGACCTGTCATGGGGCCTTGGGGACTGTCATCATGGCTGGGGAGCCTTCATGGGGCCATGGGGGCCCCATCATGGACAGGGACCCATCGCAGGACCTTCACAGTCTCCATCGTGACTGAGGACCAGTCATAGGGCCATGGGGACCCCCATTACAGGGACTTGGGGACCCTCATCACAGCCAGGGACTTGTCACGGGGCCACCATGGTCACCATCATGACCGGGAACCTGTCATGGGGCCATGGGGACCCTCATTGTGGCTGGGGACATGTCATGGGGCAGTGGGGACCCTTGTCATGGCCAGGGACCCATCACCAGGCTGTGGGGACATCATTGCACTGAGGACCCATCATGGGGCCAAGGGGACCCCCATCATGACCAGGGACTCGTCATGGGGCCGTGGGGACCCCCGTCACAGATGGAGACCCATCCCAGAGCTGTGGTGACCGTTGTCGTGGCTGGGGACCTGTCCTGCGGCCATGGGGACCCCTGTCATGGCTGGGAACCCTTCCTGGGGACTTTGTGGTCCCCGTAGTGACCAGGGACCCCCATTATCACCAGAGACCTGTCATGGGCCGTTGGGCACCCCAGTCAGAGATGGGGACCAGTCCCAGGGCTGTAGTGACCTCCACTCTGGGTGGGGACCTGGCCTGTGGCTGTCGGGACCCATCATGGGGTCTCGGGGCCCAGCCCTCATCACCAGAGACCTGTCGTAGCACCCTGGGGACCCCTCTTGTGACCAGGGCCCCGTGCCGGTGCCATCGCTGTCCCCACCACAACCGCATCCCCACAGGTGCCACCAACGCCATCCCTTCTCTCCCGCAGATCCCCAGTGGTACCCGGCCAGACAGTCCCTGCGCCTGGACCCCAGTGAGTGCCGCCGCGGGGGGTGTCCCCAGGGTGTCCCTGGGGTGTCCCCGAGCCCATCGGGGCGGCGGTCACCAGGGCGCGTGTCCCCGCAGAGGGCAGGTCCCTGAAGGACGAGGACGTGCTGCAGAGCCTGCCCGTGGGCACCACCGCCACCTTCTACTTCCGTGATCTGGGGGCCCAGATCAGCTGGGTGACGGTGAGGTGTCCCTC